TTTTTTTAAGTTCTTCGATTCAAGTTGATGTTTGGTTTTATTGTTAGTCTCTCAAGGAGCATTGTCATTGGCAGATTGCAACCCCTGGTGTTAAGAACCGCATCTTTACTTAAGCCCTTGAAACTATCGCAAACATAGTTTGCCCAACTTCAATCACATATTGTAAATATTAGTTCAAGTTTGAATTGTAATTTTTTTTTTTTTTAAGTTCTTCGATTCAAGTTGATGTTTGGTTTTATTGTTAGTCTCTCAAGGAGCATTGTCATTGGCAGATTGCAACCCCTGGTGTTAAGAACCGCATCTTTACTTAAGCCCTTGAAACTATCGCAAACATAGTTTGCCCAACTTCAATCACATATTGTAAATATTAGTTCAAGTTTGAATTGTAATTTTCTTTTCATTGTAATAGTTATTTCAATTGTAAAATAGCTTTGATATTAGTAAACGTTTAGTATGATTCCTCATCTTTTAAACGTCTACTCCTGGCACTTAGATTTTTGTTCCGAATGCTATTATATGGGGTATTAGTCATTCAAAAATCTTTCAAGCTCACTGGTGTCTGCCCCCTGCACCAGCAATTGTAATTTTCTGCTTTCATCAATTGTAATGTTCAGTTTTCATCAATCAATGTTCAATTTACTTTCAATGTATTCAAATTCTTTGTTATAAACTTTCTACAAAAATGTAATCAAATTTTCTTTCGTCCCGACGCGATCAAGAAAAGGCGGAAGGTAGTCTAGTGGAGCAAACTACTGTCGCATGGTGTCCCTTTCTGTACCAAGAAGAAAGGCACCCCGCGAAAGTTGGTATCAGAGTTGCAGCTCACGACCCTCGATAAGAAAGCTATGGATCCAATTACATCCCACACCACTGAAGTGGGAGAGCCTCAAAAGAAGAGTACTACTAAACAGCGCGTGGATGCGCTTGATGAGACAACTATTAGATTGTGCTATGCCTTGGACGGTCTCGAGGAAAAAGTTGAAATGGTAGAATTCGAGATTCTTGGATTACACATCCAACTGGATGAAATCCAAAGGGCTTGCGCAGTAATGACTGAAGCTGCTGCAATCATTCTTGATCTGTAGGATGAAATGAAAGTATTGAGAGCTCAATTACGAATACTCCAACGTGCAGTGGGCAATGGGCAAGCTCCCGTACCTGAGTATGCTCCTAGACTCAGAATTCTTGAACCATGTACCTAGGAGGGGGACGTGATGGAAAAAAAGTCAAAAACTTCTTGTATGACATGGAACAGTACTTTCTCGCAACTTCGATCGAAGACAAAGCTAGAAAGGTAACCACTGCTACCATGTATCTTGGTGGAGATGCAAAACTATGGTGGCGAACCAAAAATGCTGACATTCAGGCCAACAGGGTCCGAATAGATTCTTAGGATCTCCTCAAGGAAGCGATCAGATTGCAATTTTTCTCGGAGAATGTCGAGTATCAAGCTCGACGGGCACTTCGAGACCTGAAACACACAAGATCTATCAGGGAGTATGTGAAATCATTTTCAGGGCATATGCTGAATATTCGAGATATGTCGGAAAAAGATAAGCTCTTCACCTTTATGGAAGGGTTGAAACCGTGGACACGCACGAAACTTCAAAGACAGAAAGTTACTGATTTGAGCACGGCCATGGGAGCCGCTGAATGCTTGAGCGACTACCAAACGGAATCTAGAACAGATAGACCTTCGGGGAATAATCAAGCAATTGGATGTGGTAACAGACCTTACAGACCCAGCTCGAACCCAAGTGGGGGAAAGCGTTACTCTCAAAATAAAGGAAGAGCCTATCAAAGCACCCGTGGCTTTCAGGGAAATTATCATAATAGTCGTCAAGAAAATTTTAACGGCAGCAACAATAACAACTGGAACAAAGGAAAAGCAACGGAGGGCCGAACTGATGCTACTCCCAAATTGATGTGCTTTTTATGCGAAGGACCTCATCGAGTGTCGGAGTGTCCTCAGAAGCGGATGGTGAATGCATATTGTCAGCTAGCAAGTAGTGGGTCAAGTTCAAAGCAAGAGGCCCCACAGGTTAATTGTCATAGTGAGACTGACTCTGAAGAGGATGAGGACGTAGTTGGGGCATTTTCACATCGGTGCAACACACTGTCGCATCAGGTTGCTGAAAAGGATGATTTCTCATTGAAAGAGGCAAAGATGGAAGAAACGAAGGGTCAAATTTGTAGGGTCAAAGGCTTAATGTACATTGATGTGAAAATTAATGGGAAGCTA